TTGTCATTTTGAGTCGTTGGGTATTTCCAAATAAAAATTTTCCAAAACTTTTGTGAACTTGTTGGGTAATATAGAAATTGTTTTATTTTTGTTGTTGTTTTTAGTATTAAATCTAGAATTTTTTTAATATCAGTAATACCGTCTAGGCTAGCCAGGGATAAAATTTTCAACATGTAAAAAATAATGGGTTTGTAGATCCTGGAAGCTCTGGATTAATCAGCTAGTACATTTATAAGAAGTGTCTAATTCACATTGATTCATAGAGATGGATTATAAAAGATAAAATTTACTATTTGAAATCCGGCTATTATATAAAAAAAAAAATTATATTGTAGCATATGAATTGTTGGATAATTTGATGCTATCAATATGAATTTAAAGAGGTATCTCTCATCATTTCATTACAACAGGAAAGGAGGAATAAATGAACAATTAGATTTCAAATGAATTGAAAAGAAACTTTCATCTTGTGGTGTGCTCATCCCTGCTTACTAGCAACAATAATGACATATTTCTAAAACTAATGATGAAAAAATGATTTTTATATAATAATAGTAAAATGCACATTTTCATTAAAATAATGTCTGTTTTTGTTTAAAATATAGTGTTTTACTACTTTTTTGTAAATTCCAACTTTTCATATGGTGCTATCAAACAAAAGATAGAATGGTAATTGTAAAAAAAGTCAGAGTTGTCATTTATTTCAGAATATCAACTTGTTTTTTGAAATGTAGTAGTGCTAGCAAAAAAGATATTTTCAACAAAGTCTTTTGACATATTTAAATATATTATCAGATTTTTTAAGCAAAACAAATCAAATTCTTATATGTTCTAATAAAAAGTTCCTTAGACTTAAAACTTTCCTCGAGAAAACACAAACTGAAGACAATTTTAGAATAACTGAATACACATAAGGCAATTCAGCCTATTGAATTTCAGCAGAAAAATCTACCAGACTAATGTCATCAAAATTCCACCTCTTAAACAGCAGGGAACCCATAAAAAGCAGTAATGAAAAAGAAAGTTGCCTCATGTATTCCCAATGAATTTCTGTAAAGTTTTCTATTTAACACTTATTAAATTATTCCAATAAATAAAAATGCTAATCTCATAAAGAGAGATTAGGAGTCATTATTTCTATCAATTAAAAATAACAATGGAACATTAAATCATTAACAAATGCTTTTTATTTATTCATTATACAGAAAGCAGTATAGTCTGCAGTTTTCAAAAACAAAAGAAATAATAAATAGAAAGGAATAAAAAATTAAAATACATTTTTTTATGTATGATGATTTGTGTGTGTGTAAATATTGAAAGTGTTTTATTCAAACAAATATTGTCTTAACTAAGTATTTCATACTTACCAATTAAGTTTTGGGCCCATACTTAATTGGCAAGGGTATTACAGAACAAAAGTATCATAAATCATAGAATTTCACATCATAAACTAAAGAGTTGAGAAAATAAAAGATTTCAAAATATATTTACTTTAGCAGCAGTAGCAGTTGAGATAATTGAACATATAAAATATATAGATATGTAATGTACATATTCACGTGTATGTGTACATGCAACTGTACCTAAGTGTGTATTGTACATGTGTGCAATTGTTCAAATTAAAAAATTGACATATCTTGAAAAATGAAAATTGATCAATGCCTTGAATAATAATGAATATATTTTGTTCAGATATATCCACAATTGTTAATCAATGTGTACACACTTGTCATGCACATATCTATTGAATAAGTTGAGACTTATATTTTTAAACAAACTGACATATTTTGAACGTATTCAAGACTCATTCATGTCATTCTTGAGAATTTTTTTTATTACATTTAAAGAAGTGGGACATGCTGATGGAGGGTGGCTCATTTTCAGTTGGGCAAGCAACAAGTGATGGTCTAACTTTTTTCTCTATTTTAGTACTTTGCTTCAACCTCTGTTTTTTAACTGAAAAGCCTGTAGTGTAAAAATTTAAAAAATAATTTAAAAAATACTGATCCTCATATTTTTGCTTATTTAAGAAATCTCAGTGGGAGTAAAAATGAAAGGGGAAAACAATCAACACTGAGTCTACATAAATATGAATCAGCAGGATCTGTTTCAGCAGAATTCTATTTATAAAATCTTGCAAATAGATTTGCTTAAATTAGCTGGCACTTTTCAATTTAAAATACTGCAACTTCAATATAAATTTCATGTTTTCTTATCAGTAACTGATAATAATAAATGTGAATTTTTTAAAGTCACTTCACAAAATAAAAAAAAAGGTAAAAAATAAAAAAAATGACTGAAAAAAACAAAAACAAAAAAAACAAACAAACTTAGTGGTCAAGTATTCTGAGGTTACCTGACACTATCTTATTTTCTAGAACTGCTCCTGATGGAATATCAATTCTATCACCATGATTTGCAATAATGATTACTGTTCCTTTTAAACTGACATGTTTGCCAAAAGTAACATCACCTGACACAGTGAGATGGTCGAGTTCCAGCATGTCTGGAATGCTAGAAAACCTTGCTAGAAAGTCCTTTACCTTTTGGAAATGGGTTCCTAGTTTAACCAAGGGTACAGCCGGAAACGAACGTTGAGGACTCATTTCCAGGGCCCCGGTTCTCATTTTATACAGGTTGCTCATTACTAGAAGTAAATCAGAAGTCGTTTTCACTGGCAAAAACCTCTTTCTTGGCACGTTAATACCAATTGCGCCTTCAAAACTTTTTATAGCAGCACCAGAAGCAGTTTCCAATTGTATCACATTAATACCGTTGTCTAATGTCTTAGGATTTACGATAATTTCCATGTGCAGTGTCTTTTCACTGATAACTCTTTGAAGTGCTGTCAGCTTAATCCAAAGATTATTTGTATTAAAAATCTTAAATTTGCTTACACTTTTAAATTCATCAACATGTTCTTTGGGTACTTGTGCGATCTCCAACAATCTCAGTTTGCCTTCGTATTCCACTAGTGTTCCACCCTTTACATCGGCCCGAGTCTTGTCTGTTACTTCCATGACAAATTCATGGGACCCAAGTCCTGCAGTTGGATTAAAAAGAAGATTTAAGATGTGAAGATCAACAGTAGCCCCTAAATTATCAATATTGGATACAAACACATATTCCCGACCGGCTTTGATAAATTCATCGAGAAGACCCGATGAATGAAAGCTTTCGTAAATGTCACCGTGTCCAGGTGGGTACCATCCATGGGTTCCATCAGGGCTGGTTGTAGACATGCTTTTAGGCATTGGTAACAAAGACTCCCGGTTAATACGTGGGAATCTGCTTTGGTTAAATGTAAAGATCCGTACCTTGATTTGGTTGTATTTTCCTAGAATCTTTTCTGTGTCTTCATCTGTGTTAAAAGAATTCATCAAAACTAAAGGAACGTCAGCATCGTAAAATTTATTCAGGTATTCGATCTGCTGTACTGTCATATCAAGAAAAGTAAGGTCGTTTCTGACAGAGATGGCACTTTTGGGGCCTTTACAACCCATGCTTGTTCCTAGACCTCCGTTAAGTTTGAGCACAACCAGTTTGTTAAGCATCGACTGGACACTGCCCAACTCCACACGTTGGATTTCGTTGTAATTCTTTATAGCATCGTCAGGTAAGACTTTGATTTTATCCCAGTTTATAGAAGGGCCAGTTTCTTGAAGGTATCGTTCAAACAACGACTGGAATCGGTCGAGTTCATCCTTTACTTTGTCTTGGGAATTGATCGGAGCAGTTTGTACAAGTTTTCCCAGTTCTTTATGCATGGCCAGTTGGGCATCTCGGCGAGTTAATTCCTTAAATTCAATGTCACTTGAAGTGCGCCGATGTCCCTTGACGAATGCTGTGTTAGCCATGTTGTTATTGTTGTCACCTTTGATCGTCGTTCGACGTTCAATTAGAGATAAAATCTGTAATTACTTAAGATTTTGTTATCACCAATCGTGGCACATAACATATACTAGAAAAGTCTTGTTTTTAATAGCAGTCGTTTCGTTGTAGTGTGGATGAGGGTCTACAAAATGAAAGCCGAAAAAGAATGGATAAAAAGAGAAAATAGCGCAGCGTCGGTTATTTTTTTTTTTCCTCCTGTTTTAATTTTATTCTTTTTAATCCTTTTTTAAGCGTCCAGCCTTTTTCCTTCTTGATAAATTTATCCTTTAACGCTTTTTATCTTCTGGGAGCAACGTTATCCACAGTCTTCCTCGGGGATGAAAAACTACTATAAATGATGATGTGTGGGAACACAAGTCACCGGACAACATAGGAGAGAGGGAGAGAGAGAGAGAGAGAGAGAGAGAGAGAGAGACAGACAGACAGACAGAAAGAAAGAAAGAAAGAGAGACAATGAGTGAGAGAAATGTGCGTGTCAAGGTTATTTTGTCCTTTTAAAGGTGAAGGATGGTGCAGAGTTACTTCCTCTTGAAAGATTACACTCAACGCAAAACACAACTCATATTGACATCTTAGGGGTTAGAGCATTTGAAAAGTCGATGAAACTCGTTATTAAACAGGATTAGAAAAAAAAAAAGAGAAAAATCCCAAAAGCTAACGAACAAGCAAGTAGACCACTTTCCCTCTATCTACCCACTCGATCTTTCCTTTTCAGATCATAACGAAAGAATACTAAGCAACTCGATTTCACCTGATTGGTGAGGCTTCCGCTTAGCGACTTCTGTAAATTAAAATGAAAAAATATTTTAAAACAGGGCAAAAACATAAACTCGTCGATCTGGTGATATTTAAATTATAAATCAAATCAAGTAAGAAGAGACTCCAATTATAAAAATAATTTCCCAAGGTTATTTATTAATTCCAAAGATAAAAGTGGTCGAAAGATGAACAAATGCTGATTTTTCATTTTAATTATTAAAATATGATTAACTTTTGAATTTTATTTAATAATTGTATATCGAGACGAAAGCTCGTGTAGATTTCATTGTTAAAAAAAAAAGAATTCTTCAATATAATCAGAATTTGCTCATATTGTCTACAAAAAAATGTATCGTTGGAATAACTTGAGGAATTGCTGTTACAGAGTCCTACTGGTAGGTACTAAATTAGACTAACATAAAAACTACACTACTTTCACTTTTTTTACTGTGTGTAAACATTTGTTTTTTTGTGGTTTGTTCATTCTTCTTAGTGACCTTCAATGTCAATTTTTAGCGATTTATTATACAAATTAAAGAAAGAAAAGTTCTACGTTGAAAAACGATTAACTTTTGGTCCTCAAACTTTCCTTCGTTTAATTTTGTAAAATGTATTGTATGTAAAAAAAACAATTATGTTTTAGTTTCTTTCACCTAAAAAAAGCTCTGGAATATCCTCACCTTGCTTAGAAACACTGAGAGACGAACCTGCACCTGAAGTGACGTCTCTACTATTATTTTATTTTCCTCATAGTCAGATATTTCCGTTAAATTACTCAAATAAACTTAGAAAACTAAAGAAATATCAACATGACATACATAGAGAAAACATTGTTTTTCATATAGTTGGAAGGAAGGTCTTTAATTTCTGGTTAAGTGTTTGTTTCAAAATTGACTTTTTTTAGGCATAGTTTTACTTTGGCGAAACCTTTTAAATTAAAATACCTTTTTTTTTTTTTTTTTTTTTTTTTTAAGCAGATAACATTCAGTTTTCCAAACCCAATACCTCCCTTAGATTATCTTCTTTTTACCATGTCTCATATTTTGAACACAATGAATGAGAATTTGTAAAACAATAAAAATAACGTTAGACACCTACCATCTTTCTTTGGAGAGATTATTGAGTTCAGGTACTATTTTGTGTTTTAATTTTGATAAGAGACTTTTAGCTTTCGTATTCATTTGTTTTAATTATTTTCGTTTTGTAAATACTTATTAGTCAAAAAAGTTGGATTTTTCCATTTTATTATGGTGAAAAAAATGTGTGATTAAAAAATATGAGGTTAGGTTCAAAGCAGTCTAAGGGAGATAATTCAGTATTTTGTAGCGGTGGGGGGGTCCAAACGCTAAAATGGAATATAAATGTTTTTTTGGGGTTTTTTTTTTTGCATTAAGGACAAGTAAACTATTTTGTAACCAATTTAAAAAGCATCAACTATTGGTTAACTGAACATAACAAGTGGTTGATGCTATTCATTTCTAGAAGAAATCATAATCAACCAAGATTTAGAGATGGATTCTCTATTTTTTTTTTTTTTTTTAAATTATTCGGTAGCGATTGGTACATTTATTCACCGGGTACTTACTTTGCTTTAAACACAGTAATTAATTCAGTTCTCAAAAGTTCTTAATTTTTATTTACTTTTTTTGCTTATAAATTTTTTATGATTTCAGAAATTTTCATAGATTTTCAGAAAGACTAAGTAATAATGGAATTCCTAGTGTAAAGTGCGGGGCGGGGATCTTATTGGTGGTTTTAAAGATTGAACTAGAATTTTTTTTTCCTTTAGGGATCTTCTCCCACCTTTTTTTTTATTTTTATTTAGGAAACTATTTTAATAAAAAAGAAAAATAACTAAGTGCTTTAAAATACTTATCAATTTTAGCCAAAATACACATTATTTAATTACTAAATAAATTTTTTAAGTTTATTATTACATAAAAAACCACAAATAATCTGCTCAGTCACTAAGTGTTGAAAAGTCACTAAATGTGGTTGAAAAGGTTGTATTGCATTAGGCTTTCAAGTAGGAAGAGGTACCCTACTCTGAAACAAATGAAAAACCTTGAACAGTAACCATGGGTACTAGTGAGGCAATCTCAACTGCCAAACATGTCCAGGAAGATGTGATTTATAAAGATAAACCGAGTAGAAGACAAATTCAAAATGGGGGGAAAAAAAGAAAAGAAGTGTTAATTTTTTGAAATGAGGAGGAATTATCTACTTTGAAAATCAGCATTTGAAATCGGCTTTTACCTGATTTCAAATGCAAACCCTTAACAATGGTAAGAAGTAAGGGACCTACTAAAAACCTACCAAGAAGCCTACAGAAAGCAAAAAGCTATTTTCTCAAGTTTTGGTTTGATGTTAAAAATGATTAAAAAGAACAAATCTACCCCCACCAAAGAATAAAAGGTTATATATTCAAAAGTAAATGAAGACTTAATTGAGATAGACACCAGAAGAAATCAAGAGAACCCACTGGTCAAAATGTAATTGAAGAAACAAAAATGTGGATATTTATTAGAATAATTCATGTAGCAATATCTTAATTAACAATTTTAACATCCACATTCTAAAATAAGTAAGTGAAGTTCTAAGAGAAGTAGTTTGAATGGGGGCTCTGGTGTAGAGGACCGTGTGGGTTTGTGTGTTCTTGGATTGGGAACACATGCATTTATTTCCTGCTAGAAGAAGGTCCAACTACAAGAAAATGGCAGACTCTAGTTGTGTCCAACTGAAGGTGAAAAGAAAACAAACACGACTATATATATATATATATATATATATATTAAACAACACAATTTTACAATGGACATAGACAATTTGTGTTTGTTCTTTGGTGAATGTTCGTACATATATGTATGTGTGTATAATGTTCATGGCATCTCCCACAAATGGAAAACACTATCTTTTGCGAGAGCTCACATTGTAGAGGTGTTCACTGAAATGAAGAAGAGAATGAGGCAAGAAGTTGCCCAGTAGAGAAAGCAACTCCTAGTGATAATTAGAGAATTAAGGAGGAGCTAACTCCGACAATACCTCCCCTCAGATTTAAACTTGTAGGAACGAAAACTTTTAATATGTAAAAAGTTATAAACTGAATAGAGAAAGTGTCCAAAATTGTTGACGCATGTTGAAGTTGAATGTGATTTCTGAAATATTATCAGATGAAAAATCGCCGAAAGTATGTGCATTATCAGGGTGCTGAAATTATATTTGGGGTGAATGTATAGCACAGTCTGAGCGAATATGTGTCGACGAAGTGTACATGTGAATTGCTGTTGCGTTTAAATGCTTGCAGCATAGAATATATTTCGGTCACTGGGTCATCTGAAGATTGCATCGCGTAGAATTTATTCAAAGACTGTGGGTCGTCCAAAGATTGTGTCATGCAGAATTTATTCAAAGACAGTGGGTCATCTGAAGATTGTGTCATGCAGAATTTATTCAAAGACAGTGAGTTGTCCGAAGAATGTTTCACACTTAATCTCTTCAGCGTAGAAAACTTTCGTACATTAAAGGCATGGTAAGCAATGTTGAAATGTTGATAAGCCATAGTGTGAAATGTCACACGTTGTGTAAAATATATATGTTTAAGCATGTGAAATTAGGTCAAACATCACCGCAAGAAAGAAAGGGTCAAGCAAATATAGACCAGGGGGAGAAGATGTGTTGTATTGCTCATGTCATAGTAGTAGTAGTGGTGATTCAAGTTTCTGTGTTTTCCATGTGTTGTAGTAAAATTCTATTTGCCATGCCGGAGAAAAGTGTTTTGTATAGACTTTTGTAGCAAATTAAAATTGTGATTTTGCACTTTCATCTGGTCTAATCACAAATTTTGTTGCTGTATAAAAGTTGTTTTTTGGTCAATAGTGTCTTGCGTGCATATTAGATTTTCAATGTTTTTCCTGACTGGCTCTCGTTTGGAAAGTGTGTGTAAATGTGAGTTTGTACATATATACAGTCTTGTGTTTGTTAGCAGGAGTTGAAAAATCATATCAGGAAGTCACCAATCTGTTGAGGACCCGGTGGTTTGAGAGTTGTTGAATTAGTGACATGTGCTGTTTATTTCCTGCTAGAAAGGTCCAACTACAAGAAAATGGCGGACTCTAGTTGTGTCCAACTGGAGATGAAAAGAAAACAAACACACACATATATATATATATATATATATATATATATATATATATATATAAGACAACACAATTTTACAATGGACATAGACAATAACATTTGCATGTGTTTGTTCTTTGGTGAATGTTCGTATGTATGTGTGTATAATGTTCATGGCATCTCCCACAAATGGGAAATGCTATTTTTTGTGAGAGCTCACATTGTAGAGGTGTTCACTGAAATGAAAAAGAGAACGAGGCAAGAAGTTGCCCAGTATTTATAGTATAGGGAGTGTGACCCCTAGTGACAATTAGAGAATTAAGGAGGAGCTAACTCCGACACTGGCATCATTATTCCAATATTAAATGACTGGATCATTTCCAGAAAGACCTTGTACGCTCATACTCCCACATCACAGTAGGTTTGTAGCTTCACATATAGTTATTAACTGGATTATGATCTGAAATTTTTTTATATAATGTTCAATGTTTGTGTTTAATATTTGCCACCGAATTAAGTGCATTGACAAGGAAGGAAATTATATAGAAAATAAACATGTTTTTTCCCTACTTGTATACAAATTAAGGGAACAACCTCTCTTCTGACCGAAATAGGTATTTTCCACTTGTGTTAAAGGTTAATGTTTGAACTTAAGTAAAAGCCAAAATTTTGAATGTTAATTTTCAAAGCAGGCAAGTTCTCCACACTTGGAAAAATTGTATAACACAATCTTCCTGCTTTAATTTATCTCCATTTGACCTTGTGTTAGATTGCTTCATGGCTGAAACAGTTGTGTGTTTCCAAATTATCATAAGATTTTTTTTTAGCCAGTGATTTGAATGCTGATTTTTCAAAGTAGTTTAGTCCTCAAACACAGATTTAAACAGCACAATCTTCCTAATTTACATTTAGCCTTATGCCAGACTAAATTCAGCTTGCGACCTACTCTGAGACTAACATGATTATGTGTTTTCCACTGTTGTCAGTGGTCAGTATTTGAACTCTGGTAAAAACCAGGATTTTAAAGTAAAACGTTTGATCCCATCGTTGAGGGATTAAAAAAAATAAATAAAAGGTGACCTAAAGTGAAATCAATTAAAATTTAATAAATTTATTCCATGACTTTCCTGTCTCCGAAAATTAAGAAATTATTTTGTTTAATTTGCTTCTAAAATTTCCCTTCATGTTGGATGGATTAAGTTTTGAAATTCTTCCATAATAATAATTTATTACCAAGAAAGTAGCATTGCTAAAAGTCTGAAGCAGGAAGTGTGTTCTG